GGAAACAGAAAACAAAGAGAAGAAATGGGATGCCCAGCTTGAGTTCCTTCCAGATTATAGCATCCTCTAAGAACGGTCTGGCAGGAACTCTTAAATAGGAGCATTACAGCCGGGAGGTGAGGATATTTGGCAACATTTTGTTACTGGCCCCACTTCTCCCCTTACATGAGAAACAAATATATGTCACATTGATTTAGTCTCCTTACCTCCCAGGTACCTTTTCCCTATTTCCTGCTAGGGTCTGTAACAAACAATCACACACAATGCTAACATCTGTGGAGCGGCTAGACACAGAAGCACAGCCGAGCTGAGAATACTGCAGCCTAATGATGCAGAGAATAACCTATTATTTTCCGGCAGCAGGCTGCTACTAGCAGGTTTTCTGGCGCAAGGCCTGGGTGGAATTCACTTACCTTTCTAAACCGCAAACCTACATCTCACATTGTGTAGTACAAAACTTCTCCTTTCGTGATAACTGGGGGTTATTTTTGAAACAAACCCAAGGTCTGAAAACCACCCCAGTCTCAGTGCATAATCTTTCACCTGGCACGGCATGTCACGTCAGTTTGCATAACTATTTCCCTTCACCGCAGAACATGCAAAGATATATCTCTCATATCTAGTCCTGCCACTGAGATTCTGTCATATGGTGTGCTTAGCATATTCTGTTAAGAAAAGCATTTCCTTTCATTTAGAGAAAACGCAAGACATTCAAGTTTGATTTGTGAAGGTCACAATGTTAGCCTTTGTCAAGCATATCTGAGTGCGATGACCTTCTCAGAACAATAGCGGTTATATTTGTTTTTATTTATTCCACTTCAGTTTGGCAGGCAATGGTTTGTGTTTTAATGGTATAACCGCCAAACACTGTAGAATCAATAAGCCCTGCAGAATGAAAATTCTGTAACAGCACTTCTTTTAAAAACCTTGCCAGAGCCCTCCATGCTTAAATTAGAAATGTTTTATTTTACGCCTCTGACATTGTGAATCGGCTTTTCTTTGCCTGTTAACCATTGTGCAAATTGTCAGAGCTAGTGTCAAAATAAGTCAGAAAGCAAAATGCTGCTGATGTTTCTCCCCCGGAGGAAACTATAGCTTGATCTTCCTTCTTTTTCTTATCTTGCAGGGGAAGAGGGCTTGATTTCACACTGATGTAGATTTGTCAATGTGTGGCAATCTGGGTGTTATCTAACAGCTCTGCGGTCGAAAAGTCTGGGTGAAACAAAGTGCTGAAGAAAGACTTAGTTCCATAAACATAATGCTCAGAGTAATTGTTTAAAAGCCTTCTGTTAGCTGAGCTCTCACAATGACTAGTGGTCAACGCTATGGATATGTGTTGGGGGAGATTTAAATGGTTGCGTCTTTTTTTTAAGAAACTCAATTTAACATTGTGTTAAAGAATCAAAATTACAAATCAACTCGCAAACCAGGTTGACTTAAAAATGGTCATAAAAGTAATTTAAATTTTGCTCATTTGTTTCGTTGGGGGTTTCTGAACCCATTTCAATAGGTTTACTCTGAGTAAAACTTGGATGAATATCCAATGGGTCTACTCTGAGTAAAACTCAGTTGAACGCTGCCCATTAAGTTCCATGAATGATACATGGCAAGAAATACAGTTAATTGTTGAGGGAGAGGGGATAATTGACCAAATAAGTTTTTAAAACAAATATTAAAAACAAACTCATGTGTTGTATGCAGCTACAAGAAAACAGATGTCAGTGGTCCTATCAGCAAGAAATAATGTGTAGCAGATCAATAAAGGACAGTGGTACCTCGGGCTTCAGGTTACAGACTCCGCTAACCCAGCAATAGTACCTCGGGTTAAGAACTTTGCTTCAGGATGAGAACAGAAATTGTGTTCCAGTAGCACGGTGACAGCAGGAGGCTCCATTAGCTAAAGTGGTACCTCAGGTTAAGAACAGACCTCCAGAACGAATTAAGTTCTTAAGTACCACTGTATTTATATATATTATCACCCATTGCCCCCCTCCTCAACTTACGAACTTTGTTAAACAAATTTGATCCATCACTACAGACATGCATTTATAAGAGGCAGGGTAAGTAGTGGGTAAATTAGTTAACTCAACCACAAGCTTGGTCAAACCACAAAAATTAATGTAAGCTTATTCAACCCAATTTCAGAACATAACACAAACATAGTTTCTCTGAGAAGAACCTGTGGTTCAGCATCTGATCAGTTATACCGTATGATAACTATAAATAATTATCCTAGACTAGTTCCAACTGCAAGTGCTCAACCAAACAGATGCAGAGGACTCAACGAAGTAGCATGCGAAGCTACGAATCATAAGTGTTCAAAATAGTTGGCTAATGTAATAAGAGGTGACAGCCATTTAGCTTCAGGCATACTTGGATTAAGCTGGTTATCCAGACCCATTTCAATTTGGCTGCAGATGTGGTTTTGGTCACTTTGGTTGATTAGCTATTTTGGAAGGAGAACAAGGGGGGTGTCACCCCCGCTAATTTTCCTTTACCAGCAGCTTTTGATGCTTTCCTTCTGAACAGGCTCCATGGACAGAAGTTAGAGGCGCTGTTACAGTTGTGCTCCTGCATACAGGACCAGTTTCAGAGAGCAGAAGTTTGAATTAGGGGTTTAAGGTTGGCTGTGATGTGTCCTAGAGGAAAAACGAACAGAAACAACAAAATAGGGTTAATAGAAAGACATTTCGCTCTCCCAGAAGCAGAGCGTCTCTGCAAATGTAGTAAACAGGAACCTGATACGTTGGAGCATATTTTCTTTTGATTTTGGCATTTATGCCACAAGACAATTGTTAGAGGCCTTACAACTTAACAGCCTTGGTTCTATGCTGCCAACAGTTCAGGACCTGTTCTCGGACAGGAATGATCAAATTACTTTAATAGTGGCTAAATTTTTGAGTGCTGTCCATGTGGAAAGACTGGGCCATTATAGAGAGATTTAGTGGTTCTTGATTGGTCGGTGATATGGTAGTGTTATACTGTATTATTTATGCAAATTCTTATGCTGAATTCGTATTTTCCACAATCTGCATACGGTGTTTGTTTTATAATGTGTGGTTCGCTATGCCTAATAAAGGATTGATTGATTGAACAAAATAGGGTAAGTTCACCACAAGGTGCTTTTAAATAATAAAGTCAGGGAGGGGCGGATAGAAACAGGAAAGAATGGGGGGTGGGAAATTCAACAGTATAGAAAGTCTTTTGCTTCTGAAATTCTTCAGATGTTCTGTCTGTCTAAGGAAGAACCTCAGATATCACTTTAAGCAAATGATGGTGGCAACTCTCAAACAAGGATCTAGTTGCATGCATCTGACTCTATCTCTGCCCCTCAAGGCATGATGTTTCCTCATACATAACCATGCCAAAGTAACATGCAGGGCTTTTTTTCAGCCAGAACTTATTGGAACTGGGTTCCGGCACCTCTTTTGTGTGTTCCTGCCCCTCTGAAGTGCTGAGGTGCCATTTGGGGCTGCATGTTGGAGGCAGGCAGCAGGCAAAGGAAGATAAGTCCTTGCCCTAAAAAAAAACCTCAACAGCTATGGCTGGTTGCTCCCCCTAAACAAAGCTCAACAACTTACCTCTTTTTCTAGGGGGGGGGAAAAGCCCTGGTAACATGTGATGTAATTCAACTATTGCTGAAGCTATGTGAAGTACCAGCTACACAGAATATATTTTCAGTGGCAGCTATGTTACTGTGGTCTGAGTGCAAACTTTCCCATGTTCACCACTAGTTGTGTGCATGTGTATGTTTGTGAGTGATCTCTTCCCCTACCTTGTTGTTGTTGTTTTTTTGCTTTGTTTGCCCATGATTAAGAGTTCTGAAGAACTCAAAAGCTTGCAGTTTTTCCACATCTTGGCTGACCCATTAAAGGTATTGTCCTAACATTTTGCTTGCTTGCTTGCTTGCTGAATTTCTCTCATGGGCCAACACAGCTGTTTTTCCTTTTCGTGTGATTTGGAAAGTGTTGATTTTAGGCATTCAGCTTCGGAATCCTGATCTGAAGGAAGACTATCTTGTATTACCTGAAGATGACACTTTATCCTCTAATGGAACATTCCATAAAACTGCTAGGTAAACCTACCCAGTGAGGTTTATATTGACATTTCTACCAAGCACTCCACCTAAATTTAATCTCTTGTCTGTGTTGCCACAAGAGCTACTTGGTTTCTGTTTTCGTTTTGTCAATCTCCAAAGAAACCTGGGCGTTTCTCCTAAAGGTGGAGGACACTCCTGGGCAATGACTGCTTTCTATATTTGCATAGAAAGGACAGCAGCCATTCTGTGTTTTTACGTTTCAGCTTACCAAAATAGCACCCAATACAGCCTCATTTAAAAGTCTGCTTCATCTCTCACTCTATCTGAGAGGCACACAGAGATGGCTTTACTACCTGCAATATTTTATTTTCTCCCCTGACGTAGGCACAGTATTGCTTTAATGCAGATTTTGAAATTTAACATAGGTCAAATATCTTTCTACGATTTCTACTTTTTATTTCCTTTGAGGGGGGCAGCTGTCCGCTCCCCTGCCTAAACCCATGACAGATGGTTATGGTCAGGATCAGTGGACAGGACCTGTGTTCAGTTGGCAGAGCACGAGACACTTAAATCTCAGGGTCGTGGGTTCGAATCCCTCCTTGGACAGATGCTTCCTGCACTGAAATCCACAACCACCCCCTTTCCTCTCCTCCTCCTATTGTCAAGCGAAGGGGTCCGCCCCAAGTCGAGGCTCGTTCCATTCTTATCAAGTTTGGGGGGTACGATCAGAGAGAGGCTGGCACGAAAGGCGCGAACGAGGCAAGCCGCCCCCCACCCCGTTTCGATCTGCCGGGAATGGAAGGCAGGCCTTCATCCGTGGATGAGGCGGCGCCTGACGCGGGCCTGGTGTTGTCAGGAGGGGGGGATGAACAAGAGCCACCCCCCGCGGAACGCCAGTTGGTACGTTCCAGGGCAGCTGAGCGGGGGGGGGGAGGAGCAGCAGCGAGAGAGTGAGCGTCGCGCGCCCGCTGTCAGTTGGCCCGAGCGGCGGGCGCGAGAGGGGTGTCGTTGCGCATGTTCGCGGAGCTCTCGCGACTGCAGGCGTCGCTCTGGTGTCACAAGAGATCTCCTCCCCCCTACCCCCAATATCTCCCGTTTTTTAATTCCCCCCAAACGGTGGTGTTTTATTTTGGTTTTTCCCCTCTCGCTTCTTCTTCTTTTTGCGCAAGGCGAAAGGAGGGAAGAAGAGGGAGGGAGAAGAAGAAGAAGGAAGACCCGAGTCGGAGGCAGGCAGGCGGGCAGGGTTGTTGGCTCGCTGGCCCTGAGAGGACGGCTGAGGCGCGATGCCCGTCGTGCAGAAAACCGTGTCCGAGCTGCGGTTCAGGGCGGAGGGTGAGTGGGGCTGCTCCGGCGGCTTTTTCTGCGTGTGAGGAGGGAAGGGAAGCGGGCGGGAGGGAGGGAGTCCTCGTGGCCCCGACCCTTGGCTGCTACCTTGTCATTTCACAGACCCAAACATCCCGAGTACATTCAGTAAGGGAGCCTGTCGTGCTAATGGGGAAGGGATTCCTCGGCAGCCCCTCGTCCCACGCCCCCCTTTTTGCTGCTCTTTTCTTCCGTTTTCGGAGGAAGGCGCCCTCTGTGTTTCCCCGCCTTCCCCAGAAGCGCCCCTCACGGTGGCGCCTGGGCGAGCAAGCAGGTAGCAAAAGACATACCCCCCCCCACCGCCTCACCTGCGCCCTTCTGGTTTTACCCACATATATTTCACCCCATTCCTGTCAGTAGAAGAAATGAAATAGAAAGGGAGCAAGGGGTGCCAACTTGAATAAAATATAGGGGGTGGGGGCAAAGGTAAGCTCCGCCCCACATAATCAATCTTTCTCTCACACACCATTTGAATGACAGTGTCCACCAACTTTGAGGGGGCCCAACCCCCCCCTCAAATGTTTTATTGGGGGAAGGGCTGAAGGGACCCCAGCCCCTAGGAGTTGGCTCCTATGAAAGGGAAAGTGAAGATCCTTTTCTACCTAGCACCCCATCCCACACCCACACAAACCAGTTTAATTCTAGAACTACAGCCACATCACCTTGCCAACAAAGATCCGTATAGTTAAAGCCATGGTTTTCCCAGTAGTGATGAATGGAAGTGAGAGCTGGACCATAAAGAAGGCTGATCGCCGAAGAATCGATGCTTTTGAATTATGGTGCTGAAGGAGACCCTTGAGAGTCCCATGGACTGCAAGAAGATCAAACTGATCCATTCTTAAGGAAATCAGCCCTGAGTGCTCACTGGAAGGACAGATCCTGAAGCTGAGGCTCCAATACTCTGGCCACCTCATGAGAAGAGAAGACTCCCTGGAAAAGACCCTGGTGTTGGGAAAGATGGAGGGCACAAGGAGAAGGGGACGACAGAGGACGAGATGGTTGGACAGTGTTCTTGAAGCTACCAGCATGAGTTTGAACCAAACTGCGGGAGGCAGTGGAAGACAGGAGTGCCTGGCGTGCTCTGGTCCGTGGGGTCACTAAGAGTTGGACACGACTAAACAACAAACAACACAGCCACTCCGCATAGAATCATAGCATCACAGTATTGTAGAGTTGGAAGGGAGCCCTGAGGGTCATCTAGTCCAACCTCCTGCAATGGGGGAGGTTTGAACCCACGACCCTGAGATTAAGAGTCTTGTACTCTACCAGCTGAGATGCTGCCCCGTTTCCAGCTGTGCTAGCAGCACCCACTCTCCTTTGTTCCAGGTATACAGTCTGGACCATCTTCCCCATCTCCGAGTCTGTTCCTCTGCATCTCACTTGCGGTCATCTGACTGCCGTCTGACTGTCCTCCCCTCACACCCCCCCCCCAAAAAATCCAGAAAATAGTCAGCATACCTGACACAATAGAAGCATAGACAGTGGATATTCCGCAGCTTTTGTTGTTTGCTGTATGTTTTGTGATCATCAGGCTGAGGGAGGAGAGAATTGCTATTTCATGTTCCTACTGTGGCAGGGATAGAAATAATAAAATCATTCTCGTCAGTACGCTTAGGAGCCAACTCTAGGACTGAGGTCCCTTTGCCCCCTCCCCCAATCAGTGTTTTAGGGGGCCAGCCCACTCACCCCCAAATTAATGGGCATTGCCATTCAAATGATGTGTGTGTGCTGTGTCATGCGATTGATTATGTGGGGTGGGACTTACCTGCCCCTCCAGTATTGTATTCAAGTTGGCACCCCTGTCATTATGCAACCTTACAGTCAACTGTTGATGGTCTTATACATGGTCCATGAAATCCACAGACAAAGATGACATTTCTACATATTCCAGGATTTCCAAGCAATGCAGGGGAAAATGCATTAGTGTTTGTTTGGTTTTTTAAAAAAGAAAAAAAAATCCTAAGAGAACTGAGTGTGCTCATTGCCCTTCAGGGGCTGCAAAATGTTGGTGGCAGTTGAGCAACAGGGCAAGGGGGGGGGGACTGGCCTGCTCAAACCCTTAATAGTTTATAGTATCCTGTAATATCCTGAAGCAGGGTGAGTTTTGGAATGTATATCTCACAAAGAGCATCACTCAGCCATGATTCCCTCTCCTTTCCAGTATGAGTTTTTAAAGACACTGATCCTTGTGAAGTTAATAGAGTACAAGGAGGCCGATTTTATAGACTTGGAGGCAGAACTCCTAACCGTTTAAAGTGTCTTGTAAAAATAGGGATGTGTGCACTGAGGTTACACCTCTCAACCCCAACTCTCCTTCACCAGCTCTTTAGTACAGCAGAGGAAGGCAGGGAGGAAAAACACCTGCTTCCGTTCAGTTAGCTTTGGGGTAGATGTGGAGCTTTCTGCTCATCTATTCCTAAACCTCAGTCAGTACTATAGGGCAGTTGCATTACAGCACCAAACTGCTGAGGCTTAGGGCTAGATGCAAAGGAAGCTACTCATCTTTCCCTGAAGCTCAGAAGTCTCATACCATTGCACTATGGGGATGATTTCTCAATCATTTAACCTATCCCATAGTTCCTCATTGGCCCATAAATTGGACATGCTACTTTATAGGATTTAGATTCGCATTTTACCCATAAGTTCCATAATAATAGCAACTAAAGTTATTTCAAAATGTTCAAATCATGTCTCCTCTCTAATTCAGCATGCAAGTCCACTTTTTGTAATTTTTGAAGATGATTTTAAGGTTTCATTCATTTGCTTATTTATTTTTATTTATCTAATATGTAGCAAGAGAGACAAAACTTCACACATTAAGTCTCAGTGTTTGGTAATAAAAATAATAAACTGATACCTGTAAATGAAAGCAAATTTTTTGTTTGCTTGGATTTTTGCTTTGTTTGTACTCTTGCATGCAGTTACAGACGCAAAAATAAAAGGGAGCCCTGGCAGTCATTCATTCAATGATGTGTTTACATCTTTAGTATAGCATTACTCATAGCTTCACAACTTTTGTATCGTATTTCCATATCTTGAATGCTTACACAATATTGGCACGAAGGCTTGTGTCATGCTCTGTTTCAGAACAAGTTGTCTCACATTTTTGCATAGAAGAATTGTATACTTGTTAGCACTAAGCAGATAAAAGCAGGTACAAGCAGTATTGCTTAACTTTTCATATTGGAACTATGTGAATCAGTTTATAAAATGGATGGGGAAATATGAAGTAAGAAACTTGGCTGAAAATTTTGGACATTAATATTTGAAGATCTGTTGGGATTCATGAGCCACTTGGTAAGATGAATAATGAACCAGTGTATTGGAGTAATAGTACAACAGAGGAGCATTGGTTTACTGGACTTAATGTAAAAACAAACACATTATTTGGCAGTTATATGAATATCAAAACAATTTCTGCAGTGGCTATAATAATTGCTTTATATTACTAAATGTAGTTAGTATCCCCATGTTAGTTTATATGGACTTATCAATTAAAGGGTAAGATATAGAAGAAATAATAATAATAATGCCAGTGGGAGCTATTTTAGAAAAGCTGATGTGAATTTTAATATGCATGTTTTAATGTATTGTAAATTTCTCCTGATGTTATGGTTTTATCTTTTTTTAACCCCTTTGATGTTTTTTTACAATCAAGCAGTGTATAATTTTTTTGAAATACAGTGGTAACTCTGGATGCGAACGGGATCCGTTCCGGAGTCCCGTTCGCATCCTGAAGTGAACGCAACCCGCGCGTGCGCGGGCCATGATTTGCCGCTTCCACGCATGCGTGTGACGTCATTTTGAGCGTCTGCACATGTGTGAGTGGCGAAACCCGGAAGTAATGTGTTCCGTTTCTTTCGGGTCACCGCGGAGCGCAACCCGGAAACACGAAACCCGAAGCTACTTCAACCCGAGGTGTGACTGTAATAATAACACTGGAAGGTATAAATTTAAATGAATGACTGCCAGCTTTCCCTTTCATTTTTGCAAGCATGACTGGATGACATATTTAGAAACAGTATTCACAAATAATGTATTGCATTGCTTTGGCCGTTCAGCAGTAAAAGGAAGCTAAGGTCCCAATTAAACAACAACAATTTTAATTTCTCAGTTTTAAGAATTCTGTTTTGGAAGCAAAAAATAAAATTAGGTATTTATTATTATATTTGTATCCTGTCCTTCCTCCCCAAGAAGCCTATTTCTTTCCTTGTAATTATTTCCCTCTCCAGCAATGAGGCCCACAAAGTCTGTTTTCTCCTGAACTTATCAATCACTTGAATTAGTCATGCTCATTGGAAGGAATGGGAAATAAAAGTGTGCTCTCAAATGGAATAGAATAATTTTCTGCCATCCACATCAAAGGAGGATCACGGAAGTTACTCAGGCAGATTGTTTTCAGCCAAGAGAGCATGACTGAGCATAATTCCTATAGTAGAAGTTTAGGGTGGGACAAGAAATAATCTGAAAGTGTTTCTTTCCCTAAATGGTATATCTTGTCCCTAGTCTTTGAATTTTCACAGATATCAGTTATGCAGCTAACCCCTGGTAAAAACAAGGTGCTATGTGAGTGAGCCATGAGATGCGAGAACTTTCTGCTGTTGTTCTGAAAGCTAACTTCCTTGTTTGTTACAGTAAAACTGTTTCTAAAACAAAATTCAAGCCAGTAAGGTTTGTGGCGTGTGGGTGGGCGTGCTTTGGAGTCATTGGAGACAGGGCTAATAAGGCTATTGGGAAATGGTTTTGTAACATTTCCAAAATTTTATTGCTTCCCAAGCCACAAACCTCTGTTGCATATAGTCAGAAGTGTTCTTCCAAAAATCTTCAAACCAACCAGACTCTTCTGTCTTTATATTATGGCCTAAGAACCCTGCATCAAACAGTTTTGAGGAAACACAATCTATTTTCAGTAAGATGGATTGGCTAAAACAAATATCAATATATAAAAAGTAAAGGGTGTGTTAAATTAG